AACAGGGGTACAACGAGCGGATACAGATTTGCTGCCGATATGACGTCAAATCGGCGGCGGACCCACAGAAAGTTGCTATCAGAAACAATGCCTGACGTGTTTTGGACGTAATCTCGTCTTTGTTTACATTAGCAAGCCTCGCTAACACTCAGAGCTAACCTGTACTGGAGAGCACATGTGTTCAAAAAGCAGGAAATAAAAAAAGGAACTCACCTTGTGATAAACCCTCAAGAGAAAAAGCATTTGAGCTCCATACTGTTTCAGAAATAATCTTTGATGTGGTTTAGAACAGGATGGCATATATCACAGCAGAATGTAACTTTATCTCCGGTAGAATTCTGATCAGGCATTAGCTCCGCCTCCTTTTTTTTTTTTCAAGCTAAGGGCGTTTCTCTAACAGGGCTGCAAAAGAGGGGTTTGTGCAGTATGAGGCATGGCTACAATGGGTGAACTGTTTGGTATTTTAAGCAAAAAACTTCACAGACATGTTTTGTATAGGTATGGCCCTACAATATATTTTTCCAATATAGCATAGCATATAGCATTTTCACTGCAGCTACATTCAACTCACTCTTTTTTTGTTTTCTATGAACTAAATGCTTCTAATTGTACTTTTTCTAGGTACTACTTTGTTGAGGTTCCAAGATAGCCAAGACGATACTAGAATGCTGAGTTACAATACTGCCTACTGATTGGTCAGAGAGAGGATAAGAAATTGCGCAACATGGGACATCCTGACTCTGCTAAGCTACCATCAATAGCGGCCGCAAGCTTTAATTCACTTTACTTGTAAAAATGGCAGCCAGTAAAACTACTTTCTACACTATGTTCGCTCCACCGTGCAATTGATAAAGTGCAGATGTTCTGTTTGGCTGCCAATGAAAGGATTTCCACAGATTTAGGTTGAAGGTGATGCAGTTTCATTCCTACCTACAGTGAGGTGGTACTATTCGATGTGGAAACCAAAATAGAAAAGAGGATTTGAGTTGAAGCTAGACGAGCCATGCAGTCACAGTGGCAAGAAGAAGAAGAAGAAGAAGAAGAAGAAGAAGAAATAATCCACCGAGGGGGAAATTCAGTTTTCCACTCTGTTTTTTGCAGACATGCTTCTTATATAGGTACATACAAATACACACAGTCATGTGCGTATGTATCAGTATGGGCAGATGCTGAGTGTTTATTACATTGGATTTCCAGCACACCCACCACATTTGGACTGACTTACCTTGAATACTCTGTCTGTCTGGTGCATGTGGAGGAATGTGTCGATATGCTAGTAAATCAATGACTAAATCAATAGTTTTAAGTATTTGCTGGATCATTACCCATCATTAAAAAAAGGTAATCTTCAAGGAAAACTTGGGATTCTTCGGCATGCTTTTTCACTTTCTAAGCGTTGACTTTTACCCATGTATGTTTTTTGTTTTCTAGTTCCTCCTTCCACTCCCTCTATGACTCATTCAGTAGTACATTAAAAGTGAGTTAGCCAGAGTAACAGACAGGTTTAACTTCCCCTCATGAGTTTCACACAAGCAGCCCCTCCAACCACTTTCATCTACACAGCCAAGCAGGGAGATTTCAAAACCCTCCTTGCAGAGAGAGTGTTCAGTCATGCAAGATGACATTTTTATAGCTATGCATAATGCCACAGTGAGAGAGTGACTTCTTCACTGCCAGGAGAGCCGCTGAACGACATTTGAAGTGACAGGGCAAGGGATTTGTTTCAACGCAAGGTATCAACAACACCCATCTAATCCTGTAGATGCAGGCCTTAATTCAATGCAACAAAGCAGACATGTAGGTAACATCTGTATTATTCTGAATTTAAAACTGACAGTAATAAAGAGATGAGTGACGTAATGCTTACAGGAGGGCTCTGTTGTCGGGATTACACGTCACACGTTTTGATGTTTAGTGCTGCAACCCAAATTTGTTTTCTTTTTTAAATGATATATGCCATGGCTGACTCAAAAGCTTTGACAATAGTATACAACATCCAAATCAGGTTTGGAAAGCTCATTACATTAAAAAAAAAAAAGTAATTGCATCGAACATAAAATCATGGGCATCAACATCGATTTATTTAGTTTACTTCAGATAGAAAGCGTTGTTTGTTTGGTGCAAGTTCAAAGCTCTACCAGATACTGAAACTGAGCACAGGATATCTAAAGACCGACAGAAGATCTTGTCACATTCAATTCCCTTACCTTCTTAATTCTGGCATCTGACCTCTTATTTAACGTTACCAGCATTCACTTTGACACTTTGACCACCGGACAGTGATAGCAACTGAGATACAACTAGGCAAGCAAAATGTTGAAAAAGTGAAGCGCTTGGAATAATGAAAAAAATTGCAAAGATGAACCCCTAAAAAGTGCCAGATATGTGTAAGGAAAAATAGCGTAGGACAAATGTACTTATTGTGCACATAACAAGACACATGTATCAGCTTAGCTTTATAGGTTTGAGTCACCCCCTTGTCGAAGTTTAACAATTGTATCCCTAATATATATTTTTGTTTTTTTCAATCGATTATTGTATAAAATGTAAAAGTAGAGAAAAATTCCTTTCAAAATGCACCATATCCTAATGTGAATCCTTAAAATCATGGTTTTGTTTAATCAAAAGTCCAAAACCCAAAGATATTTAAATTAAAACAATACAAAAACAGCTAACTCTGCCATTTATTACTCTGCAACCAGCAACAGGTTTGTATTTTCGTGTAGATCAGGGTTTCTCAAACTTTTTCATACCAAGGACCAATAAAAAAACACTCATGGACCACCTAACTCCACAAATATAAAAAAACACATCGTTTTCTAGAACATATTACAAATCGCCTGAAAATGGTACAAACAAGTGGCAACATGTGTGATGGAGGTGTTGCGCTGGGCTATATCATGCAATCGAAGGTGAAACTTAAGCTCACTCCATTGCGGAGATATTCCCGCGAGAGTGCGGAAAACTTAAATGTATTTATTTATTTCAAATGTGAAATGTAACCAATATACTCACGGACCACTAGGGGGCGCTCACGGACCACCAGTGGTCCGCGGACCACACTTTGAGAAGCACTGGAGATTAACTGTTTGTCATTTCACTGATTGATTACTCAACTAAAGCGGTTTGCCTCAAATCCTCATCTGCAACCCCAACACACACAGCTTCCGGTAAATGTAATGTGTCTGTGGGGGCAGATGGAGCATTCCCTATTCTTTCTATTTTTGGCCACAGGAAGAAGTGTGATGTGTCAAGAGGAAATGATATGATTAGGAAAAACAGGGATGTTTGTCTATTGAGCATGCTGCACAGGAAATCTGTTACAGATGAACAGCAAAGGGCAAATATACACACCGTCTGATGTCATCCCTCATTCTACCAAGGCTTGCACGAGTGTTAGAAAACTACACCCTGTTTTTCAGATTCCTCTGGCTTTTATACCTACAATTAAACAACCATTAATCAAATAGAAGTACGTTTTTTTGAGGCTTTGCCCAGAGATGCTTACTGTGTTTCCACTAATCGCAGCAGTCGCTCTTGAACGCTTTCCAATCCCGGTTGTGTGTTGTGGGGTTTTTTACGGCCACCGGTGACCCCTTCCACCCCATCTCTCTTATCAGTGCTGAGCACACATGGAGGAGTGTGGCTTCGGGGAGGACGTAAAAGGTCCTTTCTCATTGCAACGCCTTGATGGCTTTTATCTCCACTGTTCCGCACCTCGAGTCTGGCTTTGAAGCTGAATACATATTATTAGTGGAGCGGGGTATCTGCACACAACGTCGACTTGTGGCTATTATGGCATAGCTGGCGTTCAGCCCGGGAGGAAACGTTAAGGGATGTGTGAGGCTGAAATTAGAAAGCTGGAAGACATAATACAAATGCTCACATCCTTGAACAGAAATAGCAACCCTGCCTTTTGTCTTCTTTTGAAAGGCGACAAAGGATGGTGACTTAATAAGATCATCTGCCAGGGTGCAGCTTCTCTTAAAGCGTCCAGAGAGGAAGATCACACCTGACAAGCGTTGCACTCCCACATAGATTGTTTTGGCAGACTTTGACAGTCAACAGGATGGGTTTCCATTTTCTGTCATATCCACTAATATCTTACCACAGTTTCAGCGCAATTAATAAAACAGGCCACCCAAAAACGTATGTGCTTATTTGTATTCCCTATTAATTGCAGCTTAAGTCTGTCAAGGTGACCTTTACCCCCTTAAAGTAAGGCTGTAAGGGCAATAAGAAGAAAATCACGATATTTTTGGACCAAATGCCGTGCAATCATAACGATATCGTAGGGTTGACCTTTGGTGATTTCACAAATATAAAATAATTTAATAAATATGCAATATGGATAGAATGACTAAGCGGGTAAAGGCAAAGTGATACATTAAGAAAATTACAACATTTGACTGTCAATCAGGCTTTAAAACAAGAAGAGACAAGGCTTCTAGATATCCCAAATCCTCTTTTCACAATATCTATGTTATATCGATACAGTGCCCAACCCTACTTTGAAGCCTCAAAGGGTTGAATGTAAATACTTTTAAAAAACAAGGGTCAAATGATCCAAATATAGAGGTCATGTTATAATTCATCATTCTTCTGTGCTATTATCTCCTCTAAACACTGCCAATATGTCCACCTAATCACATTAGTCATGCTCTCTACTCACATTTCAGCCAGACATTAGATTGCAACAAAGTGACTCACAGTGGAATAAATGAGCAAACATCATGGGACATAAAAGGCAGCCAAGCACCGTTTATGCTCATGTTGAAAGTGTCCCTTTGACAGACCAGGCTTATTGTGAAGCCAGCAGCGTCCTTGAGCACAATGTAGGCTGCCTCAAAGCATGATTTAACGCTGACTCTTAACTTCCTAACGACAGGAAAATATGAGATTCAGCAAAAACCGAGCAGTTTGTGTGTGTTTGTGTTTTGTGTGTGCATAAATGGGATCAGGCGTTCAGAAATCGACAGAGGAGACAGAAACAAACTCACCTCTTTGCATTCATGCCTCTATTGATCGCTTTCCTCTCTTTGCGTCCCTGGAGAGGCTCTTCCACTGGGGATTTCTTTGCAAACTTCTCTGCAACATTGCGTCCAAAGTCAGAGTGCGATCGCCTTGAAGAGTTGCTTTCCTCCTCCTTTTTCTTCTCCTCTTGCTCTGCAACTTCTCTCAACAGCGGATCGTCCGCGGCTTTGCCCCCCAAAAAGTACAAAAGTAGGAAAACTCCGAAACACACGGCGATCACAACTACTTTGCAGTGGATCCGCATGGTGAGAGCGACTTGTTGCGGCTGGTTGATGCAGACGGAGCTCCGCTCATGTCTGCGGGTGAGGGAGAGCAGCCCGAGTTGACATTTTGTTACCGCTCCCCGCTCGCATTTTCCTGCAGATGATGATGGAGAGCGGAGAGGAGCTTCTGCAAAACGTCCATGGAGGATTAGGCATTGGAGGCGGGGCGATTGAGCCATTACCGTAAAGATGGTAGCACTGCCGCACGTGCAATCACCATGGAGGAGTTGAATGGTCAATGCCACATACAGAAAAATATACGAAGGGCTGGCCTGGGCCACTTATACCACACACTTATAAGTTAAGTTATAAGTTAGCAAAATGTAGGTAAATTAGGCTTGATACATGAATATGCTTTAAGAAAAAAACAGCCTACATCACAGCTCTCTATAGGGTTTCATTTATCTTGTTGGCAACTCATTCCTTAAAACAGGAGCATCAGAGGGATTATAATAAAGGGAAATATGAAGGGTATTTTTCAAGTTTGTTATGTAAATAAGTTATTGGACTTTTTTGTAGCAACTAAGATTTGTTAGAAAATGTTATCAACATGAATTGACTGAATTTATTTTTAAAAGTGGGATTATTAGTACATGAATACTACTGTGTAATATATTTGTACATATATATTTAAGAAGTACAATATAGGAAAAGCACAAGTTTCATTTGTGGGCCATATTTCATTATACTTTTTTAATTTGCTGAGGGCCGATTCAAAACACCCCCGGTTTATGATGTTCTTAATGTACTATTTATCTTCTTGTTTTATCTTTGGTACAGTAAAAACAACGTACATTGTGTTGTCATATTGATATAGTGTCTCTCTAAGTATTGAAACACATTTGTTCGTGCAGATATGTTAACATCTTAAAAATACTAGTGATTTGTTGACCTTAATTATTGCCAGACAGCATTGATTGACACTATAATTATGCATTTGCTATTTGTTTTTCGACCCACAGTTATGATTATGTAATTAACCACAGGCATGCAAACTATAAAAGACACAAAAGCAAAATTAGCAAATACATAATGTGTGGTTAGATGATTGGCCCCTTGCATGGGCGTCACTTTGTTAGAAAAATTGGTGGGGACACTTTCTCCAGATTTAACATCAGCATAGCAGAAGACAGAAGATGTCTCTCCCCTGGGTGTTGAACATGGAGCACCTGCATGAAAAACCAATGCATAGACCTCTGGACCAAAGCCATTGTGTTTTAAATGACATTGTGTTTTTAATGACATCCACTTAAACACAGACAGTGGCAGAACTTCAGTGTTAGTATTATTAGATCTCAGTGCTGCGTTTGACACTGTTGACCACAGCATATTACTAGACCGACTGGAAAACTGGGTGGGACTTTCGGAAACAGTTCTAAATTGGTTTGAATCCTACTTAAAGGATAGAAACAACTTTGTTTCTATAGGTAAATACACATCTGAGTTGACAAATATGACATGTGGGGTACCTCAAGGCTCCATCTTGGGGCCTCTTCTCTTTAACATCTACATGCTACCACTGGCTCAGATAATGAAAAACAACAAAATAAGTTACCATAGCTATGCAGATGACACACAAATTTACGTAACAATTTCACCAGGAGACAATGCTCCAATTCAAACACTGAGTAAGTGCATTGAACAAATCAATGACTGGATGTGTCAGAACTTTCTCCAATTAAACAAAGACAAAACTGAGGTAATGGTTTTTTGAGCCAAGGCAGAACGTATAAAAGTTAGCGCTGAGCTTCAGTCTGCAATGTTCAAAACAACAGATACAGCCAGAAATCTAGGTGTAGTCATGGACTCTGACCTGAGTTTCAACAGTCACATTAAAACAGTTACTAAATCAGCCTACTATCACATAAAGAATATATCTAGGATTAAAAGACTAATGTCACAGCAGGATTTGGAAAAACTTGTCCATGCTTTTATCTTCAGTAGACTCGACTACTGTAATGGTGTCTTCACGGGTCTCACTAAAAAATCTATTAGGAAGCTGCAGCTGATTCAGAACGCCGCTGCTCGAGTCCTCACTAACACTAAGAAAGTGGATCACATCACTCCAGTTCTGAAGTCTTTACACTGGCTTCCTGTGTGTCAAAGAATAGATTTCAAAATACTGCTGCTGGTTTATAAAGCACTGAATGGTTTAGGCCCAAAATACATTTCTGACCTCCTGCTAAATTATGAACCATCCAGATCTCTCAGGTCTTCAGGGACTGGTCAGCTTTCTGTCCCCAGAGTCAGAACTAAACATGGAGAAGCAGCGTTCAGTTATTATGCTCCAAATATCTGGAACAAACTCCTAGAAACCTGCAGGTCCGCTGCAACTCTGACTACTTTTAAATCCAGGCTGAAGACTTTTATTTTTGTCGCTGCTTTTAATTGAACTATTCATATCTTAGACTGCACTGTAACTTTTATCCATGTACTTTTTCTTTTAATGTTTAATTGAACTATTCATATCTTAGACTGCACTGTAACTTTTATCCATGTATTTTTTCTTTTAATGTTTATTTTATTAGCTTTTCTTTTTAATGACTGATTTTAAATGCCATTTTCTTAATGTCTTTCATTTTTTGTAAAGCACTTTGAATTTGCCTTGCCTTGCCTTGCCTTGCCTTGCCTTGCCTTGCCTTGCCTTGCCTTGCCTTGCCTTGCCTTGCCTTGCCTTGCCTTGCCTTGCCTTGCCTTGCCTGCCTTGCCTTGCCTTGCCTTGCCTTGCCTTGCCTTGCCTTGCCTTGCCTTGCCTTGCCTTGCCTGCCTTGCCTTGCCTTGCCTTGCCTTGCCTTGCCTTGCCTTGCCTTGCCTTGCCTTGCCTTGCCTTGCTTGCCTTGCCTTGCCTTGCCTTGCCTTGCCTTGCCTTGCCTTGCCTTGCCTTGCCTTGCCTTGCCTTGCCTTGCCTTGCTGCCTTGCCTTGCCTTGCCTTGCCTTGCCTTGCCTTGCCTTGCCTTGCTTGCCTTGCCTTGCCTTGCCTTGCCTTGCCTTGCCTTGCCTTGCCTTGCCTTGCCTTGCCTTGCCTTGCCTTGCCTTGCCTTGCCTTGCCTTGCCTTGCCTTGCCTTGCCTTGCCTGCCTTGCCTTGCCTTGCCTTGCCTTGCCTTGCCTTGCCTTGCCTTGCCTTGCCTTGCCTTGCCTTGCCTTGCCTTGCCTTGCCTTGCCTTGCCTTGCCTTGCCTTGCCTTGCCTTGCCTTGCCTTGCCTTGCCTTGCCTTGCCTTGCCTTGCCTTGCATTGCCTTGCCTTGCCTTGCCTTGCCTTGCCTTGCCTGCCTTGCCTTGCCTTGCCTTGCCTTGCCTTGCCTTGCCTTAAATATCATGAACTCCCAACTATAGATTTTGCTGTGTGATTTTGAGTGACTTTGAAGCTTTATGCACACAACGAGCAGCCAGATATTGAAGACAGAACATGGCATAAGTAACAAATACATACAGGAATAAATGCAGCAATAAATATGTTAGAATAGAGGGTTTGCTTTAATGGAAAAAAAACCTGAAGTTTGGTTAAGTTATAAAAATACTGGGGCTTAATTGTATTGTTTCTAAAGGGCATATTAAAGAAACCTAACCCTGATGCCCTGGTAGCCTTGAGTTCTTCTGAACAGATGTAAAACATTTGACTGTCACTATCTGGAACAAACTCCCAGAAACCTGCAGGTCCGCTGCAACTCTGACTACTTTTAAATCCAGGCTGAAGACTTTTCTTTTTGTCGCTGCTTTTAATTGAACTATTCATATCTTAGACTGCACTGTAACTTTTATCCATGTACTTTTTTCTTTTAATGTTTAATTGACAGCACTGTAACTTTTATCCATGTATTTTTTCTTTTAATGTTTATTTTATTAGCTTTTCTTTTAATGACTGATTTTAAATGCCATTTTCTTAATCTCTTTCATTTTTTGTAAAGCACTTTGAATTGCCTTGTGTTGAAAAGTGCTATATAAATAAACTTGCCTTGCCTTGCCTTGCCTTCCTGTGATGAGTTTCAACAAATGTTTTTACAATATCTCCTCTGTCAAGTCCTTTTATAACCCTAACCAATAATATAAGTAGAAGCCCAGCCGTTAAAATTATACCGTAACATGTCAAGGATGCTTTGGCTCAAAGGGTAAGTGGGTTTCTAAGAGTCAGAAGGTTGGTGGTTTGATTCCCAGCAGGGGAAAGTGCATTTTGGAGAGACATGTTTTAAACAAATGTACAGATTTAGTTTGCTTCTTTAGTTCGCAGTTAAGATGTTATAACGAAGTAAATGGATGCCATATCTTATAGAACTACACTGTAAAATGTTTGGCTGTAAAATTACAGTAAATTACTGGCTACTAGTTGCATGTATTTCACAGTAATTGACTGTAAATATTTCACAGTAATTGACTGTAAATATTTCACAGTAATTTACTGTATATATTTTACAGTTAATTAGAATAAAAGTACAACTAAATACTGTGACTTTACAGTTGCCATGCTCATGGAATTACTGTGATATAGCAGTACATAGCTGTGGTATTATGGTACCTTGCTGTACATAAATTACAGTAATTACCTGTATGTTCACACTATTACTGTAGAAGTAATGCAACACAGTAGCCAGTAATTTACTGTAAATATACAAATCTAAATAATACGATAATATATTGTAAATTTGACTGGGATTGTACCATAACTACACAATTCAATCAGCTCAATCAACAAAGAAAAACTAAGAAAATGCCCATTTTAACTTTGTATTACTCCATTGAAGTGCAAAGTACATTTCACAGTGTCTTGGAAATTTTGTTACGGCCCCAACCTCTACTCCGCGGTAGTGGCTTGTGCTGAGACCCGCAACATGAAAGAATACACGCAATAACCGGTACTTGGTAACGAGCATTTATTGATAATCAGCCGTTTGCTCACACAAGCGAAACGGGAAACAAAAAGAGGACTGGCCAAAAGGAACAAACAGAAGGAGGGAACCTGAGCCAGCCACACCACAGGCCGTAGGAACCAAAAATCAAATATAAACCCTATGGGAAACAAAATAAAGCCGCGAAAACTGGACTACCAGGTCCTCCAGGCTAAACATAAACACATCTGCAAAAATATGGCCTACAGCTCAGAATGGCACAGAGGTATTCTAAGGACAGTGTCTCCGGCGTTAGGATAGGCGAG